CCGCACCTTTTTAGCTGCTTCTTAGAAAAAGTTATCAAAGAAATGGCCGTGCTTCTTCTTTTTTGAAATGGATAGTAGTTTTTTTTTGAATGTCTTAAAAGAAAGGCTTTTATCACCCCGAACAAATTAAAGTGTCAATTAGAGATAATGATTTAATTGTTCAAGGCGAACATAATTATAAGGACGATACTCGGTCGGAAAAATTATCTTTTTATAATTCCGTCACTCTTCCACTTGGTACGCAAATGGAGCAACTTAAATCCCAACTGACACCAGATGGTAAATTGCAAATTGAAGCACCGTTTTATGAACCGACGCTTCAACAAATTGAAATGAGTAGACGATAAATGAACTTAAGGATGCTGTTTGAACTGTGAATCAAAGCATGCTATATTAGTCTCTCCTTCTCGTTAATCGAGATGAAGTAACAAAATCAATATCCATCGTACGGTAGATCCTCTCTTTTACATGTATACTACAGACAGTTTTTTTTATTGTATTGTAAAATGATAGTCTTTTCCATGTTTAACAATAAAATTGCGTGTTAGTTACAGTACATCAAAAGATAGATCTAGTTCTCACTGAGTTTATGTAGCTTGCAGATAAAAATTTACTTATAACTGTATGTACATATCAGAACTCCGTAGGACTGAACCGGACTGAAACGTTTTTGAGTTCATGGACTCGGACTGAACTCAGTGGTACTACAGTATCACATCAAGGGGAAAATAGCCTCCAGTTTTGCTGTACACACTTCTAAGTGTCTCTCACTTTGAGTGGTACTTCTATACTTGAAGTGACGTCACTTAAAGTGACTTTCTATTTTTGAGTGTTAGTTTATTTCATTGATTTTGAAGTTAGCTGGAGTCAAATAGCTGTTGTAGGATAGAATACAACATTTGCACAAATGTGATTTTTATATCGTAAAAAATATGCATACGTCCATAAGTATTTGTTTTTGAACCAAGCCACCACGTCGAACAGGGCCGTAAATAGAAAGTCAAATTTGAGGGTGTAAACAACTTTTAAAGCTTTTTCGCCGCGAAAAATTGGGAGTCTCAGAAAAAAAATTTCGCTATGCGGCCAAAAATAACGAAAAACAATTTTAATTTCCGCTGGGAGGAAAGCACAAATTTTTATTTTTGGGTGGTGTACTGTGAGACACTTAACGATTTTAATACTTACTAGTTTTTTTGGTATGCAAGCCTCTTTTCATTCTTTCTTTTATAAAATATATATTAATAAATTTGAACGTGAATATCAACAACATAGTGCTATTGAATGGTATATGAAAGAAACATTTTTATACAAAATTATTAAACCAGCAAATTTGCAATGTCGTCAAAGAAAGTCATGAGTATCAAGTCATGAGTATCAACGCCTTGTGGCCAATAAAACATTAAGTCCAACACTTGTTGTATTTCTAATTTTGATCCCGAGAAAAATGTGCCATCACGAATTGATCGAGTTAATTTACAATCTTTTTCACGACAACGCCACTTATATTCTAAAAGCAACATGAAATATAAATTAGTTTTTCGTGATACATTCAGGTTATTACTACTTACTGCCGTTAGCTCTTGATGATTGTCCCATACACCAGTTATTATGACCATTAGAGCATTTTGTTATTGGATTATACGGTAGTAATCCAAGTGTTTGACAAAACCAAATAATACTTTCTAACGTATCTGTGCATGTGTGACACTCACGGACTGCCATATCATCGATCCGAGGTAACGGTAAGAATGCCATTTTGAGATTGAGAAGGTAATGTCATTTTCCCACATTGTACTATTTATATAAATCTTTTTGGGAATTAAAGCGATCATTCTTACTCTTGTTATCTTAATTGATCCTTTAATCCGATAGTTATTGTTATCTGTTACAGAGCAGTGTAAACTACTCCACTTTATATATACATATTGCTTGTGGTTTTTTTATTTTTGTTCTTTCATTTCACGGATATTTAATATATACACTCGCCTATAGATACTTTTAAATCAACGGTATCCTGTTTTATCTGTAAGTAGAGTCATCTATTCTTTGATCGTTCAATACGTAATATTGTTTAACCAATAATTTCTTTTTTCT